ACTTTGCATTCATAAATATTTAAATTTTCAGTTAAGCTGAACATTAATGTCCCCAATCACCAATTTACATTGTAAGATTTTTATTTTTTTTAATTTTTTTTATTTTTTAAATTTTTTTTCAACGTTTATTTATTTTTGGGATAGAGAGAGACAGAGCATGAACGGGGGAGGGGCAGAGAGAGAGGGAGACACAGAATTGGAAACAGGCTCCAGGCTCTGAGCCATCAGCCCAGAGCCTGACGCGGGGCTCGAACTCACGGACCGCGAGATCATGACCTGGCTGAAGTCGGACGCTTAACCGACTGTGCCACCCAGGCGCCCCTGTAAGATTTTTAGTGTAGTGAGTAAAGGTAGGAAAGTGAGGGGTGTTTGGGTGACTTGAGTGTCTGATTTCTTTTTTTTAAATGTTTTTTACTTATTTTGAGAAAGAGAGAGAGAAAGCACTGAAAGGGGTGGCACAGAGAGAGAGAGAGAGAAAACACTGGAAGGGGAGGGACAGAGAGAGAAAGAGAGAGAGAGAATCCCAAGCAGGTTCTGCACTGTCAGTGCAGAGTCCAACACAGGGCTTATCTTACAAACTGTGAGATCATGGCCTGGGCCAAAACCAAGAGCTGGACGCTTAACTGACTGAGCCACCCAAGTGTCCCAAGTGTTTGACTCTTGATATCAGCCCAGGTCATGACATTTCAGTCCTGAGAACCAGCCCCGGGTCAGGGGTTTGAAGTTCAGCATGGAGCCTGCTTGGGATTCTCTTTCTCTCTCTGCCCCTCCCCTACTCATGATCTCGGTAGAGCATGCAACTCTTGATCTCAGGGTTGTAAGTTCAAGCCCCATGTTGGGTGTAGAGATTACTCAAAAAGAAAATCTTTAAACAAATAAAATAGGTTGATGAGCACTGTGTTATTCCCAAAGTTTCACTACCAAAAAGAATGTATTGCAGATGAAATTAAAGTAAGAAAGTTAATTTCTGCAAGAGGGACTAAATGCTGAGAGATACATCAAAATTTGCAAAACTTGCCCTGTAGCACACTAATATTACCAATTCGTTTTTTTATTACTAAAATTTTTAAAATATTTTATTTTATTTTTTGAGAGACAGAGAGAGATAGGGTGTGAGCAGGGGAGGGGTAGAGACAGAGGGAGACACAGAATTCAAAGCAGGCTCCAGGCTCTGAGCTGTCAGCACAGAGCCTGATGCAGGGCTTGAACCCATGAACTGTGGGATCATGACCTGAGCCGAACTCAGATGCTCAACTGACTGAGCCACCCAGGCACCCCTCATTCTTTTTTTTTTTTAAAGAGTGTTTAAAAAAATTTTTTTAATGTTTATTTTTGAGACAGAGAGAGACAGAGAGAGAGAGTGAGAGAGCACGAGTGGGGGAGGGGCAGAGAGAGGGAGACACAGAATCTGAAGCAGGCTACAGGCTCTGAGCTGTCAGTACAGGGCCCAACATGGGGCTTGAACCCATGAACCAGGAGATCATGACCTGAACTGAAGTCGGATGCTTATCCTACTGAGCCACCCAGGCACCCTTTTTTTTTTTTTAATATTTATTTTTGAGAGAGAGCAAGAGAGTGCTTGTGCAAGTGGGGGGGGGGTAGAGAGAGAGGGGGACAGAGGATCTGAAGTGGGCTCTGTGCTGACAGCAGGCAGCCCGATGTGGGGCTTGAACCCATGAACTATGAGATCATGACTCGAGCCAAAGACGGACACTTAACCCACTAAGCCACACAGGTGCTCCTACCAATTCTTTTTCAACCAATTTATCATTTCTACCAAATAAGATTTTGATTTACTGGGCTGCTGTGCCTTCATAAACCTTTTCCTGGGCCTTGTCTGGATGCCAAAAGTAGTTGGATCAGAGGACCTCATATCCTCCAACTCCATTTCACAGATTAGGAAGCAGAGGCCCTGGGGCAGGACTGAGCCACTTCTCCAGCCTTCTGCAAGCCATTCACAGAATGTGTTAGGTTTTCTCACAAGCCCACTGGGCTTCAAATAATCACCACCTTCCCACACTCCCTCGCTCAACTTGGAGGACTCAGCTTCCCTGTCATCTCTTCTAGATGATTCTTGCCCTGCTCCAAGTTGGCTTAGTTACTGCCTATATACCATCTACCTTATCACAGTGTATGCTAAGTTATCTGCTGCTTATCTCTTCCAAGAGACAGGGCTGTCTTCTCTACATCTGGGTCTCCAGTGCCTGGCCCAGTAAATGAGCCCAGGGCTCAATCCCTGACTCTGATATGGATCCCAATTCTATTCCTCACCAACTTGATCCCAGCCCAATCCAACTGTGCCCAAGCTCTGACCTATTCCCAGACCCCAGCTTCACTTTTGACCCTTACCTCATCCTGATCTTGACAGTACACACAGGAAAGGAATAAAGGCAGTTGTCTCCAATGTCCAGGGGTACATCTCATCTCTCTCTTTCTGAAGGAAGGACTCATTACACTGAGCCCACTTGAGTCTGCAGGGTGGAGTGCAGGGCAGAGCCTCAGCCTTGGGGGGCAGCAGTGGAAGAGTTTGCTCCTTATGGACAGCTTCTGACCAGGAAGCCTTCTCCCTGCAGAGAGACCTGTGGGCAGTTTTGGGTAGGGACCTGGAAAATGCGGGTCCAGACTGGCTTGGTCTATTGGCACCCTCTAGAGGACAGTTCTTTTTTTTTTTTTTTTTTTTTTTTTTTTTTTTTTTTACCGTTTATTTATTTTTGAGACAGAGAGAGACAGAGCATGAACGGGGGAGGGTGAGAGAGAGAGTGAGACACAGAATCTGAAGCAGGCTCCAGGCTTCTAGCTGTCAGCACAGAGCCTGACGCAGGGCTCGGACCCACAGACCATGAGATCATGACCTGAGCTGAAGTCGGATGCTTAACCGACTGAGCCATCCAGGCACCCCCTAGAGAACAGTTCTATTACCAGAGCTATCTATTACTTGGATGCCCAGCAGTGCCCTGGCTCCCGAAGTCTTCTTAGATGGTAGCTGAACCCCGGGCTCACTCCTGACCCCATCTCAGTCACTAAATTTCTGCAGCCTTGGGCCAGTGCCCCACACTCTGGTTTGGCTTTGACTCCTGCACAGAGGCCTCGCTTGCCATTCCTGAGGGAGGTATTTTGCTGACGATAGGGCATAGGTTTCCCTTCCTCTGCTCAGACAGGCTCCCAAATGACGAGGCCCATGCTTCTTCTCTCCCCCCTTCAGACTAGGGACCCCAGAGGATCAGGCTTGGCTTTCTACCTCCCCTATCAGATTGGTGTTTCCTGTAAATATGGCTTATGTGTCCTCCTCCCCCTGAGACTGGGAGGGGCCTGAGTTTCCCTTTCCTCCTTCAGAATTGGGGTTCCTTGAGGACTGAACCAGGGTCTTCTCCAAAACCACTCCATCTAGCTGTTGATTTTCAGATATTTCCATCTCTGTTCCCCATTCTGCACAGCTCTTCCCAGAACCAGGGGCTCTGGAGTCTGGGGCCCTGAAGGGCTTCCTCTAACTTTGGGCTGGACACCTGGCTTGGAGGGCAGGGCCTTCCTCTGGGACCCGCTCTGAGCTCCACCTCTGACCTCACAAAGGCTGCCTCAGAACCTGGTCTCTGTGGCGCCGCTGGCCGGAGAAGGGATGCTATTTTGGGCAGTGTGTCTGGACTTGGCCCAAGAGGTTTGGGCCAAACCCCTGCCCCACTGACTTCTCCCCTGGAGGAGCAGAGCAAAGCAGTACGTGGGGTCACCTAAGGAGGGCTGAGAGGCAGGCTCTAGACTTTGGACACAGGGCAGTGGAGCCCCAGCTGCGGGTGCAGCCAGAGCCTGGGACAGTCATGGAGAAATAAGACCAAAGCTTGCTATAACCAAGAAGCCCCCAACGTGGACGCTTTAGCAGAGTGAGTCAGGCTCCAAGCAGGGCTGGGACAGGGGGCCTCCCCTGGGGCCCAGGCCTCAGAGTGCCACTTCCTGGGGACTGTATGGGGAGGAGGTGACCATGGGACTGTCTGGGGAAGCAACTCCAGCTGGGAGTTGAAAGCCAGGATGTTTGTTCTGGTTTAGTCCTGAGTTGCTGTGTGACATAGGCATGTCACACACTCTTTCTGGGCTTTAGCTTCCTTACTTGTAAATTGACTGTTGGGAGGACCAGCAGCGCAGCAGAGGTTGGGAGGGTATGTAGGGCTGGGCTGTTAATGGAGTGCTGGCTGGAGGATCAGGAGACCATGGAAAGCAGACACTGGACCAAGGCAGAAGGGAGAATATCAGAGATATGGCTTGATTGCTGGCTTTGCTGGAGTGGTTTCTCCCCTTGGAGTTCCCTCTTGAGAAGCTGGGGCTGGGGCTGGAGGGTGTCTGCAGTCAGGGCTAGGGATGTCAACTTGTGCAACTGCTAGAGGGAATTTGGCTAGAGAACAAGGGGGACTTCCAGGATGGGGAAACTCAAGGGTTACATTTGTGTGGTCATTCGGGTGGAAAATGGGAATACACAGGGGAATTTTCAGGAAAGGTAAGAGGGTAGTTCTGAGTTAGAAGAATGGACTAAATGAATTCTTAGGACCTCATATTGTGTGTGTGTGTGTGTGTGTGTGTGTGTGTGTGTGTGTATGTAAAAGGAAAAGGCCCTGGAAAATCGGAATTTAAGTCAGCAGCAAGAGGTTAGACTAAAAGCAATAATACCCACATATGTGAGGGTGGAGCCACTGAGGGGATGCTGTGGGCATCTCCACTTTGGACAGTGGAGAAAGTCAGGAGGACCCAGGAAGGGCCTGGTCCAGGGGTCCCGAGGCCAGCATGGGTAGAAGGGGTGGGACTGCAGGGCCTTTCCCCATTGGCTAAGGTACGTCCACACTTCTCTTTGTCAGCTTGGCTGAGTTGAGAGATTGGAACCGGCAGGACCTGTCCCTGTGGCTTCTCCCCTGGGAGGCTGAGGTCTGATGAGAATGTGGGGCCAAGTTCTGTGCCCCCACACCCCAGCCCTAATGACCTCTCTTTGGCTCCACAGCATCTAAAAATCTCAAAGACAGAACATGGCTGAATCAGATAGGAAGAGGCGGTAAGCACTCCACCCATTCTCCTCCTCCAGCCACCCATCCCCCACCCTCCCAGCACATCCCTGTGCCCTTCCTGCCCTACTCCCAGCCTCTATTTCTCCTCTGTAGTGACCCCCCCTTCTCCCCACTGCCCTTCCCCCCCTCCTGGCTGTCTCCCCAGAAGAGTGATGTCCTCTCCCCAGCCAGACCCTGGGCTCAGCCCTTGGGTGAGGGAGGCTCAGAAAGACCTGGGTGAGGGTCAAGGGGCTGGTGAGGGGGTTCCAACTGCCTTTATGTAGGTGGTGCTCAACTGAACTCACTGCCTCTCACCCTCACAGGTTCAGATCTTTAGAGTACAATAAAAACCAAAGCCCTTGCAATGGCCAAGGCCCTGCCTACCTAGTCCCAGTTTCCTCTCTGACCTTTCCCCACTCCATCCCTGCTCTCCCCAACCCCAGTCACAATGACCTCCTTTCCTTTCCTTTAAACATGCTCAGAGTCCTTCTGGGATTTCCCCTCTGCCTGAAATGCTCTTCCCTCACCTCCTCATGTCTGCTACCTTCTCAGTGAGGCTTACCCCAACTGCCCTGTTTAAAATCATACCCCACCCCCTTTCCCTTGCTCTGTTTATCCCCATAGGCCATACTACCTTCTGACACGCAAATGTACTTGCTTATTACATTTCATCACTGCCTGCCAGCACAGGAGCAGGGATATTTGTGCACCCTTGGATAGAGAGAATGAATGGCTCCCCTTTGTTCTGCGTTCTCTCTGGGGCTTCAGATACTGTTTCCAAGTGAGTTCCACAGGCAACTCAGTCCCAGTTGAAAACAACCTCCATATCCCAAGCTGACTCCTCCTGTGGTCTCAACTCAGCCAAGGATCCCCTTCTCCATTGCTCAAGCCAGAAGTCAAGACCTTGTTTGTCCTTGACACTTCTGTCTCTCCCATAGCTCACATCTAGTCCCATCTCCTAAAATATCTAGAATGTTCTCACTCCCACCATTCTTTCTACCACTACTCTACTCCCTCACAGGCACTTTACGCCCCACCCTGTCCACTCCTCAAAAGTGTCTGCAGGCCTCACCTCTCCCACCCTGGACTTCTCACCTCTGATGGTGCTGCTGTTATCCCTTATCCATCAGAACCACTAGATGGAGTGATCCAAGGTTGGAGACTGGGTTTGTATTCTGTACCGCTGAGGCCTGGCTGGTTTATAAGTGTTTGGTTGATTAGATAATTAAATAAGCTGGTGAACAGGACAGTTAGTTGGCTAAGCTGCTAGATTAATTAGTAAGTTGAAGGGTTGGTGAGTTTATTAGCTATTTAGCACCTCGGTTAGCAGATATCGCGTGGGTAATTATCTGGTTTGCCGTTAGCTTCTCAGTTTGTAGGCCACTTTTCTCAGATGCCCTTTTCTCATTCTATATCCTCTCCTTGGCCTCATCTATGGCCAGGGATCAGATGATTTGGTGGCCTCTGGATGTTTATCTCTAAACAAGACTACATGACCAGCTGCCTCCTTATAGGCCATTTCTGCCTAAATGTCTAGCAGGCTCTTCAAAGTTAACATGGCCGGAACAGACTCCTCATACTCCTGCCTAAGGCTGCAGCTTCTCTCCTGCACCTCACTTGTCATTCTGCTGCTCTTCCTAAACCCGAAGGTCATCTCTTCTCTCTCCATTCTCCTCTTCAGTTAAACCCTAAGTGTGTCATTTTCACTGTTTTCTAATCTCCATGGCACCTTCTTGGCTCAGGCTGCCATCTCTGCTCAGGCTGTCTGTGGCAGAAGCTTCCTGATTGCTCACCACACTCCCACTCCTGCTCCCTCATCCCAGCCTCCATAGAGGAGGCAGTGCTCCTGCTTAAATCTTCCACCAAACCCCATGGCTCTCTGGATCGAGTTCACACCCCCTAACATGGACCATTAGGCCTTCTGCCATCTCTACCCACCTCATGCCACTTTGTCTCCTCTCTCTGGCCAGCTCATTCTTGGGGAGTTCCTCTCTACATCACACAGTCCTTTGCTGCAAGCCTCTGCCATGCTATTCTGATGCCTTGAACTTTCCCCTGCCTCCCCTGATGCTCCTTCATCTGGCCAGCCTTCCATTTTTGACCTGTTTCCTTTTCTGTGGGAAACCCTCCTACCCCCACCTCTAGGTTGTTTGCTTCCTCTCTGCAATCCAGTAGTGCCCCCCTTCACCTGTGGCAACAGTCCTCACACTTTATAGCAATTACTTAATTGTTTTTCTTCCTGAGAGCAGGGATCATGATAATGTTCTTTACTACAATGCTTGAACATAGCAGGCATTTGGTAGATTTCTAGGTCAGTAGCTGGTTGGTGGTTATTTATTTATTGCTTACTGTGTCCTGCCTGCCATGTGGTGGGGAGGATGGGGCCAGGGTTCTAAAATTCTCTTGGTGTACTTGGCTTCCTGCTCTGTCACTTCTCCACTACCTTTGTGGTACTTTCCCAGGACCCTCTTGGGTCCCTGCCTGGCTGGTTATAGGGGCAAGGAGACCCCCAAATGATGCTGCATGGAAGCTGGAGTTGGATGGGAGCCAGTAAATTGTCCATGCAACTCTATATCTCCCTCCATATACTCAGCCCTTGATTTATTTCCCTGGAGTAAGGACAGAACAAGGACTGGGGTGGGTGAGATTGAACATAGGGTCTCAGCCATAAAAGTGGAAGTTGTTTTATCCATGCCTGACTTACATTTCTTACTCCCTCTACTTAATCTGTGCTGCTGTGAGGCCAGGGAAATTTCAGGAAGCCCGGGGAGGAGTAGGGGGTGATGTTGCTATCCCTAGCAAGATGAGGTAGCTGAGGGGCTGGTGTCAGCTTCAGGCATTCAGCATGGGGAGGGGCACCAGTCTGAACAAGCACTAAGGCCACACTTAAAGGTATCTGTACCCCTCCTCTTCTTCTTTAGCCTCTAGACTCCATCTCCTTCCCCAAACCAGAGGTCTCTACCCCACCTCCAACAGATAATGGGGCCTGTAACTCACTTTTTTGTCTATCTATCCATCCAACCATGCATTTATTAAACAAATATTTATCAAGTATCTACCATGTGCCAGGCATTGTAGGAAGTTCTGAGGATCTAGTGGAGAGTAAGACAGATGGATTCCTCAGTTGTCATTCATTTGACAATATATATTTCACAACTGCTCTGCATTTGGCACTGTGCTAGGCACTGAACCTGCCACAGGGGAGAAGATCCGGTCCCTCCTTTCCTCTCTCCTCTCTTTCATTTGTTCATTCATTCATTCATTCACTCACAGACGTCTGATTGTGTTGAGCCCATTGCAAAGGCCTGGTGCACTTTGCAGATACTTTCACCTCTGGCAGAACCTAATGTATGTTTCAGGCCTCAGGGCTGTTTATAGCACCCTGAGCAGACTTTGCTACACCGTGTGTTGTTTGTGGAGTATCTCCCTATTGACAGGTCCTGCCTGATGCCTGGCCTGTGTTCCCAGAGCTTTGGCTCCTGCAGATAGGCAGGTAAACAGATAGATGGACAGCTGAGCTCGACTTTTCTGCCTGCTCTCTCCCATCTGCTTCTCCTCTGAGACTCACTGGCACCACAGATGACACTTTTTGGCTCCCCACTGCCCTCTCTGCAAAATGGCCTCATTGGTGCACTCTTCCCAGGCTACATCCCTGTGGCTCTCAGTTGTCTCTGATCCCAGCTGTACCAGCTGACCTGGGCAAGAGGAGGTGTGTGTGGGTAACCTCTGGGTTACCCATTAACTGAGCTATGAGTTGAAGGGCCCATGGGCAGTGAGTGCACTTGGGCCTCTCTCCTACCCACGGGCTTGGGCTGCTGCTCCAGGTCTACCCGCAACTCCAAGATGGTCTCATCACCTGTGGTAACAAAGATGCAAGCAATAATGCAAAAGGAGATGGTGCGAGAGTTCCTGGCGGAGTTCATGAGCACGTATGTCATGATGGTGAGTGGGTGGGGGCACAGGGTGGGTGGGCTCTGAGGAAGGGACGTGAACCCCAGGACCTCAGGAGGGTGAGGTTCAGTGGAGGCAATCCATGCCCCCCTCCCCACCACTGACCCCTGGGTCACATTGTCCGTTATTCAGTCTTGGAGCTGGGAGCTAAAGAAGGATAGGAAAGTTAGGAGGAGCTCTGTCTTTCTCACTATCTTTTTGGGAAAGAAAGGGATCAAAGTATGTGAGGGCAGAACAAAACTATGGGCTGGGGGAGCAGGTATCAGGGGGCATGGCTGGAAACGGGAAGAAGGGAAACAAAGAGTACAGAGATTGGAGAGAAGTGTTATTGAGGGTCATGCTTTGAGAATTAATCCTGAGGGCAGTGAGGATACACGGAAGGTTCTCAAGCAGGGTTGTGATGTGTTCAGATTTAGATTTTAGAAGATAGTTCGGTGTGCAGTGTGGAGTCTCAGCAGAATGGGCAAAGCTGGTGGGAGGGGAAGCAGTTAGGAGGCTGTTGACCTTGGATAGAGAAATGGTGGTGACCAGTCCAGGGATGGAGAAGAAAGCACACGTTGAGGGAGCTGAGAAAGAATCGAGACTTTCCAAGTAGCAGATGAGGGGTAAATGCCAAGGAGGATCATTCTGGAGTCCGGAGCCTGCTACAGGGCCAAAAGTGAGGTCAGTTTGGGTGTGATCAGGTGAGGTGCCTGTGGAGACATCTGGGGGGTGGTTGGATATAGAGGTCTGGAGCTCAAAAGAGGGACTTGAGCTGGAAGTAAGGAGTTAGAGCTGATCAGAATATGGATGGTGTTTATAGAACTGTCCAGTGACAGTGTATAGAAAGAGGGAAAAAAAAAGATAAGTTGAGGACAGAAACCTGAAGAGGAGCATTTCACAAAGAAGCCTGAGGAGGAGTGGCCAGAGAGGTGAGAGGACAAGGGGGGAAGGTAGGGTCCACAGGAGTGGGTGGTCAGCAGTGGGAGGCCTACATACGGGCCAGAGAAAGTGACCACTGATAAGGGTCTATAGGGATTGGTAACAGGGAGGTCACTAGGGACCTTGACAAGGGCTCTTTGAGTAGATGATGGGACAGAAACCAGACTTGTAGGTGGGATGTGAGGTTTCTTAGAAACTCCCTCTCTCCACCTTCTTCAGCTCTACCATCTACAGCAGACAGCCTCTTCCCTGAAGCTGTAGCCATGCCTGTCTGGACTTTATGGCAGGCCCAGGTTCATGAAAAGAAGGGGTGGCTCTGGGAAGGAAAGCAAAGGCAGTCAGGAGCATGTCAGAGGAAGTGGGGGTGAGAGAGAGTGTCCCTGAGTGTGTGCATGTGAGTATAAGTACAACTGGTTGTGTGGCTCTGAGTGTGTGTGCATTGAGCCAGTGTAGGAGATGGTGTGGCCCATGGAGCACAGGGGCGTCTAGACATAAGAATCCTGATTCTGTCACTGAGTCACCAGCTGGCCCTGGGCAGGCCTCTCCACGGCTAAGTCTGTCTTCTCAGTTAGTATGTGTGTTGAATCGGACCTTTATGGGCTGTGGAGCTGTTTGAGTCCTGGCTCTGCTATCTTCTAGCTGTGTGGTCTTCTACAAGTATCTTGACTGTTTAGAAATTTAGCTTCCTTGTTGGTAAATGTGACGCTAACATTGAGGTGGCAGATACCCAGTACACATGTAGGACATATGTGCTAGTCTCTTGTCACGATAAGTGTTCTCAACTGCTCTCCTCTCCCTGTCTCCTGTCCTTTTCCCTTCCCCTGTTACCTGCCCTCCTGCTTTGACTTCTGAGCTGCGAAGACAGCAGCTGGACGGTGTCCAGCCTTAATCCAGGACAAAGTCATCTATTCATGACAAAACATTCCAGCCTCATGACGGTTGTTAAACCTTGGAACCATGGAGGTAGGAGGGTGCCTCCTCAGAGAGCTCTTAGGAGAAGCAGGCACCACTCACATGCACCAATGCCTTCCTGTGCCCCTGTTTGTCTTCCCTTTATTGAGATTATTATTGAGTACCTACTGCATGCTAGGCATGATGATGCCAAGCCCCTTACATACTGTATCTTCTCAAATCCTCACAGCAACCCTATGAGGGAAGTTCTATTATTATCCCCATTTAACAGATGGGAAAACTGAGGCTCTGAGACTAAAGTATTTGTCCAAAGTCACATTTTAAGTTAGGATTAAATCCAATGCAACCTAATATCACAGTGTGACCCTTAATCTCTATTTACTCTCTGTTCCTTAACTTACTACAGCAGGATTTCTAACACCCTGGTTTGTTAATTCCCTCCAGCTGAGGTAAGGCCTTCACTTTTGGGCTTTTGGTAGTCTCCGGGCCTCAGTTTCCCCATCTGTAGAATGGGAGCTGAAACATTTGCCAGGCAGATTTGCTGTGAGGATTGAAGGGAAATAACATTTATAAAAGAACTCTGTGAGGTTTAAGCTCATATAGGACATTGTGTTCTTATTTTCAGTTGTTGGGCCTGTGCCAAGAAGTGGGGAAGCTTTTTCAGTTATCAGAAGCTCAGTGAGTCATCAGGGCAAAAGTTTTGCCAGAAAAGCTAGTATGACCTTGGGCCCCATTTACTGCAGCCAGGATGAGGGAGGTGGACCATTCCACTCAGTTCCACTCTACAGCCTCTGGGGATGTTGTGCTCAGGGCTGGCCTTCAACGGGGCTGGACTACATTCACTGACCAGGGAGAAGAGGGGCTGGGCCATTAGGGCCCTGGAAAAACAGCTCTTGATATGAGACATAAGGCAGGAGTTGCAAACTTACATGCTATGAGGGCCAGAGAATCAACACAGAGTGGCAGGAACTGGGGCTAAGTGCAGAGTGCTGACCTGTGCAAAGGCGTGGCTGCTACTATTCTAGCTGACTGCTGGCACGCAGGGCGGGATGAAGGCCAGAGCTGCCAGAGCTTCTGATTTGTCAAGGGAGGCTGAAACCTCTGGTCGTCAAATCTAGATCACCCAAACAAAACATGTGTTCCGGATGGACTGGCCCATGGACTGCCAATTGAAAACCCTGACGCAGGAGATCATGTGGAGTTTATTCACTCATTCATTATTTTTAGCAAATGGTTTTGAGCTCCTACTTGGAAATGCGGACCCTCAGTCTTCAGACTCTCCATGCCTGCTCCAGTCCATGTACCTCCTGACCTTCCTCAAGCCTGTCAGCCTGTCCTGGCCTCACTCCCCATCCCCACGCCCCATGTGTTCCTGTCCTCTCCTGCCTCATCCTACCCTTGTCCTAAGTCAGCCTGCTCCTGGGCTCCCTTGCACCTGTCATGGAGCTCTTGAGGGACCCACGTGGCCCTGCTCAACTGCCTTTTCCCTACCCTATCCAGGATATTTCATTTTTTTTAAGTTTACTTATTTACATTGAGAGGGGGCAGGGCACGAGCGCATGCACAAGTGGGGGAGGGGTAGAGAGCCAGGGAATCCCAAGCAGGCTCTGCACTGTCAGCGTGGAGCCTGATGTGGCACTCGAACTCACGAACCATGAGCTAAAATCAAGAATTGGACACTCAACTGACTGAGCCACCCAGACGCCCCTGGGCTATTTCACTTTTTCTCAGACTTTCCCAATGCTGCTTTGTACTCTGCCTTTTTTCTTTTTCTTTTCTTTTCTTTTCTTTTCTTTTCTTTTCTTTTCTTTTTTTTAAATCAATAGATGGCTGGGAGGTTGTGGCTGACTTGCAGAGAAAACCATCAGAGGCTGGGGTTTCATGGCTGACTCTCCACCCACCTGTCCCACCGGCGCAGGCTTCATTTACCTGTGAATCCACATATCTCCCTCTTGACAAGGGTGGGCCCCTCCCTCGTGGAGCCCTCCACTCCTGCACCAGTCTCACCCTCCAGTCTACTCAGGTACTTTGCTCCATCCTTTTCCTTCCCTTCCATCTTCAAGCGTCCCTCTCTCTGTGCTGTAACATGCTGAAGTCTCTCCTCATCAGCACAACTTCATATTTCTCTCCCCTCATTGACCCCTTCAGGCTATCATGCTCTCCCTTCTCAGGCAGGTTCTCAAACAGATGTCTACATGGGTACCCTTCAACTCTTCTTCACCACCCACTCACCTCTCAATCTCTGGGACCCCGTTTCTGTTCCTTGGCCCTGATGAAGTGGTCTCTCACAGCTACCTGCCCCATTTGTTGGACTGTCACATCCAAAGGGATACTTTTCAGGCCTTCATGCACTTGACCCAGAGGCTACATATGACCATGGGGACCACACTCTCCTTGGGAAAGTCAGCTTCTTGCTGGTGTCTAAGGCACATTCTCCCTTTGTTCTTTTGTCATTTCAACACCTGCTCCAACTGGGGTTTCTTTTCTTTTTTTTTTAATTTTTTTTTTTTAACACTTATTTATTTTTTTTGAGACAGAGAGAGACAGAGCATGAGCAGGGAGGGTCAGAAGAGAGGGGCACAAAAAAATCGAGAAACAGGCTCAGGCTCTGGGCTGTCAGCTGAGAGCCCAGCCAGTGACTCTGAACACACGGACCGTGAGATCATGATGAGCGAGAAATTAGGCCGGCAGCAAACTGAGCCACCCAGGCGCCCCCCAACTGGGGTTTCTAATGCTATACCATGTGCAGCTCTAGGTTCAGCCCTCAACTGACCTCTCACCTTCATCCTCCCTGATGGCTTCAACTATAGCCTCCATGTCCACAATTCTCCAGGTTTTCTTTTTCAAAAACTCTAGAACACAATTCTGCAAGGGAAATATAATATGAGCCATATATGTAATTTAAAATTTTCTAGTAGCCACATTAAAGAGGTAAAAATCAATAGGTGAAATTAATTTGAATAATTAATGTATTTAATCCATATATCCAAAATATTACCAGTTCAACATGTAATCAGTATAATTAAAAAAAATGTTTGGGGGCACCTGGGTGGCTCAGTCAGTTAAGCGTGTGACTTCGGCTCAGGTCATGATCTTGCGGTTCGTGAGTTTGAGCCGACGTCAAGCTCTGTGCTGACAGCTCAGGGCCTGGAGCTGCTTCAGATTCTGTGTCTCCCTCTCTCTCTGCCCCTCCCCTCCCCTGCTCATGCTCACTCTTTCTCTCTCAAACATAAATAATAAAACATTAAAAAAAATTTTAAATGTTTATTTTTGAGAAGAGAGAGTGAGGGTGCAAGCAGGGGAGGGGCAGAGAGAGGGGGACAGAGGATCCAAAGCATGCTCTGCACTGACAACAGTGAGTCAGAAGTGACGCTTGAATTCAAGAAACTGTGAGATCATGACCTGAGCTGAAGTCAGATGCTCATCTAACTGAGCTACCCAGGCACCCTGATATAAAATTATTAATAAGATACTCTATATTCTCTTTTTCCTCCTAAGTCTTTGAAATCTGGTGTGTACTTTACACTTAGAACAGATCTCAATTTGAACTAGCCACATGCTAAGCACTTAATAGCCATATGTGGCTGGTGGTCATCATATTGGATGACACAAATCGAGACTCCCATTTCCAGCAGCCTGGATAGCTATAGGTCCCTCAGAGACAACATATCTAAAATACACGGAATTTTCAAAGGAGGTGCCGTCTGAATGTGACTTTATTATTTTTTTTAATGTTTATTTACTTTTGAGACAATGCGAGAGACAGAGTGTAAGCAGCAGAGGGGCAGACAGAGGGAGACACAGAATCTGAAGCGGGCTCCGGGCTCTGAGCTGTCAGCACAGAGCCCGACGCGGGGCTCAAACTCATGAACCGTGAGATCATGACCTGAGCTGAAGGCGGACACTTAACCGACTGAGCCACTCAGGCGCCTCCTGAATGTGACTTTAAAGTACAGTATTGATTTTTCAGAATCTGGGATCAGGTATTTCAGGCAGAGGGAAGAGCACATGCAAAATTGCAGAGAAAGCAAGGCACGCAGGGAGCAATGTGGTTGTTTGCCTTGAGGTTATTTGGCACAGCTGACTGACTAGATTCAAATCCGGGCTCATTCTGTGCAGAACGTGTACAAGTCACTCAACTTCTCTAGGATTTGGGTGACAATCTGTCAAATGGGGAAAACAAGAGCACCTAACATATAAATTAGTGTAAGGGTTAAAGGAGGTGATAGATATAACTTGCTTACAAGTGCCTGACACACAGTAAGTACTCAATACATGGTTATTATTTAGTAGTAACACTACTGGTGAAAATAGAGAACACTGGAGCAGATATGAAAGTGAGAGGCAGAAGGGATAATTTATACAGGGTATTAAATGGTGGCCTATTGAGTTTGGACTTTATCCTAGAAATGGAGGGGAGACAGTGAATGTTTGAACAAGGGGCAGACATGATCAGATTTTGTCTGTTAGAAATGTCACTCTGGCTGCAAGAAGAAGCTGGATAAGATTGGGATAGAATGTAAGCAGTGCTGACTGGTTGTGGGGAATGACAGAAAGGAAGCTCTCATTTGTGACTGCCAAGTTTCTGGCTTGGCTGACTGGGATGGGGAGCATAGGATGAGGATAACATTTTCTGAGAGATGGTGAGCTTTCAACATAGAGCCTGAGATGCCTTTGAAAAACCCAGACTCCCAGTGGGTATTTGAAGATAAGGACCTAGCTAGGTGGAGGTTTTAGGAGTTTTAGTGCATCAAGCATATCTGAAGCCACAGAGTTAGTGAGAAGACCCAGGAAGAGTGACTGAGGAGACGTGAAAGGGGCCAAGGATGGAGCCCTGGGGTTATCCATATTCACGAGGAAGATGAAAGAAGAAGAATGTGGGAAGGAACTATAGAGAGGGAGGCTGTATAGGTAAGAGAGGAGAGGAGAGGAGAGGAGAGGAGAGGAGAGGAGAGGGGAGGGGAGGGGAGGAGAGGGGAGGGGAGGGCAGGGGAGGATTGTTGTAGAAGCCAAAAAGGAGGGACTTTCCAGATGCACAGAATGGTTAAGAGGGTCAAAATTAGCAAAGTCAAGTAGGATAATGACTGAAGGGATCTTTAAGAAATCAGGAGGTGGGAGTCCTCGGAGAGAGTTTTGTCCACATGTCCGTGACATGTGGAAGCAGGAGCCAGTTTGAAGAGGGAGAGCAAGGGAAAGGATAAAGGAGCCAGCCAATGGGTCCTTTCCCAGAGCTTGGCCCACACAGGGACAGGGTGTCCAGGAGTCCATAGCTAGACAGGCTGGGCTGAGGCAGGAAGGTTTACTTTTAGGAAGGAAGAGTCCCAAGTCTGTGGGAGCCAGTCATGGCAAGAGGGAGGTATCTGCAAAGGGACAGAGAAGCTGGGCATGGGAACCAGAGCTGAAGGGGAAGGCAGATATAGATTCTGGTGGGAACTTCAGGAGGTTGAGTGAGAGCCTAGCTTCAGGCCTCTAATCTCCTTGTGAAGGGGGGAATTAAGGGGGTTATCTTTTGAGGTGATCCAGCAGTTACAGATGGGCAAGAGCAAGAAGTTCAGAAATGACACCTGAGAGCAATGGAAATGTTGCTGGAGGCAAGAGGAATAGAACCCCACCCACTAGCCTCCAGGGCTGATGTGTGTGTGTAGGGGATGGGGTCCTGGCAGAGAACAGGCATGAAGTATGGAAATCTCTTGAAGAAACTTCCTTCAGTTAGGTTGAAGCGTGAGATACTCTGAGGGGTTCGATCCAGACCAGCCATGCCCTCCTCAAAGCCCTGCCCCCTTCCTTGAACTTCAGGTGGTCTGGGGGCCCAGGGGCCAGGGTGTATCCTTAAGAGCCCCTGACATTGCCACTGCCCTCCCAGGTCCTTTTACAGCCCCACCCAACTCTCACTGGCCAGGTCTTAAAGGGGAGTCAGGGAAGGAAGTTTCTGGAGGACAAGGGCATGGTAGAGGGTCTCCAAAAGCAATGCAGGGTGGCCTGGGGCATGGGGGTGAGGAGCCCAAACTGAGCCTGAGCCCTTCTGTAAGGTTGGGGCTTCTGGACAGGTGGTCCCCTCAGAGCCACTCCTTCGCAGGTGTTTGGCCTTGGCTCCGTGGCCCATATGGTTCTAGGAGAGAAATTTGGGAGCTACCTCAGTGTCAACTTGGGTTTTGGCTTCGGAGTCACCATGGGAGTGCACATGGCGGGGAACATCTCTGGTGAGTGAACCTGGGCCCCATCTGATCAGCAAGGCCAGGTGTCCCCTGTATACTGCTCCTGCCCTCCTCTAGCCAGCCCCTTCCGCAAGTCCGCCGGAACCCATTCTCACCAGCCCGCAGGAGGGAGAATATCCTGAACCTCTTTCTTCTGACCCTCTCTGCCCAGACTCTTCAGAGCCCTGGACACCCCATTGTTACTAGCTGGGTCAACTTAGGCAAGTTATTTAACTTCTCTCTCAATTTCCTTAATGGTGAAATGGAGGTGGAGGTCCCTGCCTCGTAGGGTCCTTGTGAGGATTAAATTAGTACACTCCATAGATACTAACTGTTACTATTATTGTTATTGCTGCTTTTGTATTATTTGTTGTTATTGTTTGTCTCTTCTCTCACACCTTTGACATTTCTGCCCCTTCCCGCAGGGGCCCACATGAATGCGGCCTTAACCTTCACCAACTGTGCGCTAGGCCGCATGTCCTGGAAGAAGTTTCCTGTATACATCCTGGGTCAGTTTCTGGGTTCCTTCCTGGCTTCTGCCACCATCTACTGCCTCTTCTACTGTGAGTGTCTTGCCCTATGTTGTCCACCCCTGGCCTCAGCCTCCTCCTCTGAAAAATGGGCAGATACAGACCCAGTGTCCTGGCCTATGAAAATGTCTAGAGAAAAAGCCTTGGAGGTACTCCCCACCCCTCCGTCCTACAGTCTTATTCCTGGGACTCCAGTAGAGTTTAGCTGGTGGCAGGTTCACACTCAGTCTGTGTTTCCACAGCAGCCATTATCCAATTTTCGGGTGGACATCTGACAGTGACTGGTCCCACAGCTACCGCTGGCATTTTTGCTACCTATCTTCCTGAGCACATGACATTGTGGAGGGGCTTCCTGGATGAGGTCAGTGATCCAGTATGAGTTCCCCTCCTCAAGTCCTCCTTACCTAAGGAAGCGGGGGCTGGCAGGCAGCCCTCACAATAGAAAGGATAAGAACTCTGGGTGGGGTCTCTGCCAGTGGGTTGGGGCTGGGGGCATTGCTGAAGCTTTGTGACTTGGCTAAGGGCCCCAGGCGGCTGCCACAGTGTCTGCTCACCAGGTAATAGTGACAGGGATACTCCAGCTATGTCTCTTCGCCATCACGGACAAGGAGAACAATCCAGCACTGCAAGGGACACAGGCCCTGGTGATTGGCATCCTCATTGTTGTCATTGGATTATCCCTGGGCATGAACACAGGATATGCCATGAACCCATCCCGAGACCTGCCTCCCCGCTTCTTCACTTTCATTGCTGGCTGGGGTATACAGGTTTTCAGGTACTTCCCTCACCAACCCATCCCTGCCAGTTTTCTGTGGGTTCCCTGCATGTGGAGGGGTGGGGGTGATGTGAGAAGCTCCACAGTCCTGCAGAACTCCCCGGTGGCCTGAGGAGACAGGAGTGGGTCCCTGCTTTCCCCCAGACCAGCACTGATATAAATCCTGCTCTTGGACTGAATGTCAATCGTGTCCTAGACCAGCTCAATCCCTGAATCAGGCTGAAGCTAACCAGGGCCCCAGGCTCAGGGGCAATTCTTGGGCTAGAATAGGGGTCACTCCTCTACTCTCAGCCCCTACTCCCTGTCTCAGCCTGAGTGGATGCAGGTGCTGTCCCGGGCATCAGCCCTCTCAGCAGGTCCCTCTGTCTCTTGCCTGCAGGGACAGGGACTGGTGGTGGGTGCCAGTTGTGGCACCACTCCTGGGTGCCTACTTAGGTGCCATCGTCTACTTGGTCTTCATTGGCTCCAGCATCCCACGGAGGCCCCAGATACTGGAGAACTCCATGAAATATGAAGACCGCAGAATACCCGTGTTGCCCAAGACCATGTCAAACCCACCTACGACCCTCACCCCTGTCTCTGTGTCTCCTGCCAACAGACCTTCAGTCCGGACTGTCCCACCCTTAAGTGACTCCATCCACCTGGAGCACTTCTAAGTAAGGTGACTTGTGACCCTATCCCCACCCCAATAAAGAAAGCCTTGTCCCACAGCGGCACCCCCGTGTCCTGGGTGCCTCCTGTGGTTGGGCTTCCCTCCTGGATTCTTCCAGGAACTCCAGGGTTGTGCTGCAGCCCAAGACTGCAGTATAGAGCTGGGAGGCCTCTAATTCCTTCCAGGGTTAGGAGCTGGGGCACCCATCCTGGGGGAGGACGGAGGAAGCGCCAAACTATGGCCCCAGTAGGAACAGGAGGAGATTAAAGGATGCCAGACACCGAATGGTGGACTTTCAGGCATAGGGTAGGGAAGGGATGGTTTTGGGGAAAGGACGATAGCTCTGGGGATACCTTGATATGCCCTGGGAAGGACTCTAGACTCTCCCTCAGTTCTGGCTAGTTCTTGGACCAGACAAAGCAAGGTCCAAGCATGTAGATCAGAGTTTCTCAACCATTTCTTTCCATTATTGCTCCCCTCAAAAGCCTTTTAGACATTTTCTTTCTTAATCACATGATATTTTAATACCACAGATACACTATATATTGGTTTATATATATCTGTGCTTTATACGAAAAAAGAGTAAGATTTTTTTTTCGTCTTCCCCTTCCAAGAATCAGTGTTCTTGCCCTTGGAGGCAAAATCAGCCCCTACCTTGAAAATGCCTAATGTAGGTTGAAAGCAGGTAAGGGATTGGATTCCTCTTTTTTTCTCCTGGTGCCAGAACTCTCCTACATGAAGGAATTCCAGAGTCAGAAGGAAGATGCAGAGAAGAAAGTTCTTACAAAAGGCTCAGAGACAGGAAATGGCCTTGTGGGATGGGATTCAGGGGGACAGACGGAGAAGCTGGGTGGAGGTGGGGCATCCCCACCCACTCTGGGATCAAGCAGGAATCACCCTGCTTTCTGGGGCCCAGAAGTAGCATCACCCATGGTTCCTGTCATTGTTTGTCCATTCAGCCTTTCAACAATTATTGAGCACCTCCTGTGTGCAGGCCCTGCCTTGGCACTGGAAATGCTGACGTGGATGAGGCTGGGTCTCTGCCTTTGAGGAGTGTAGGGTAATGAAGATGATTTATCATGAGGAAGGAGATAAGCATCAGAGAAGGGACTGCAGGGCTCTGAGGGGGCTCACAGCCCAGTCTCAGGGTGGGGGCCAGAGATGGCTTCCCAGAGGAGGAGGCAGAGCAGAGTTGGGGACAAGAGTTGTCCCTTCTGGGATTGGTTGCTGCGCTTTGTAGTTTGAGGAGATGGAGGCAAGGAGGCTGGGCTTTATTCTGGAGATGGGGACGTGGTGAGATGAGGCTTAGCAAGCCTGCCTGAGCTGCAGGGTGCAAGCTGCTGGGAAAGGGGGAGATCGGAGCCTGCAAGGGAGTGTGGTGAGAGGCAATAATCCAGGAGGAGCAGCAGATGGGAGAAAGGGGATTTGAGAAATACTGAGGTAGAGGCCATAAGACCTTGGGCTAGCACTGGGGGAAGGAGTGGGTAAGGACGCAGCAGGAGTCAGGGCTGACTTCAGTTTCTGGCTTGGGCCTGGGGCATTGGAGATGTGCCCCCTGTGAGTGCGCTTGGGAGACAGACTGGTTTGGAGAGGAAGATAAGTTACATTGTGACATGTTGAATTTGAGTTGCCTATGAGACCTGGAGGCAAGAATTGTGTATCTTGAGCAAGTTACTCAACCTCTCTGGGCCTCTGTTTTCTCCTTTGTAAAATGGGTCTAATATAACTTACCATTTGCATTGCTGTGAATATTCAATGAAATAAAACATGTACATTGTTGAGAATAGTGCTTGGCATGGAGTAAGTGCTCAATAAACAGGTATGCCTTTTAATATTTTTAATATGTCCTGGAGATCAGAAGAGAGTTCAAGACAAAAATGGGGAAGTCGTGGTTGTGTGGATATCATGGGGGCCATGGAATAGTGAAAGGAGGGTCAGTGAACAGTGTTCGGAGAGCATGGCTAGGAGGTGTGGAGAGGGCACCTGAAGAGGTCTGACTGAGGAGGGGTGCAATGTGGGTGATCAGGGGGCCCTGGAAACAAACCCAAATGTCCATCAGTAGGGGAGTGGATCCTTACCTTGCCGTATAGTCACATACAACAGAACATGATACATCAGTGAAAACTGAGGCACGACAGCTTCCTGTAACAACAAGGAAAAAGTGTGAAAGCATAAAAAGCAATACAGTAGACTGTATACAGTATGACACCAGTTATATAATTGAAAAACAAACAAAAAGGAATATATTCTTTGGGCATACATATGTGATTAAAACTACTTTAAACGAAAGAAGGGATGGGGATGCCTGGCTGGCTAAGTTGGTAGAGCGTGTGCCACTCTTGATCTTGGGGTTGTGAGTTTGAACCCCATGTTGGGTGTAGAGATTACTTACGATTTTAAAGTAAAGTAAAGTAAAGTAAAGTAAAGTAAAGATTACTTTAAGATTTTAATCTTAAAAAATAAAATAAAATCTTTAAGAAAAGGCAGGGAGTGAAAAGACAGCAGAGTGAAGAGCAGGGACCTATAAGGCGCTGTGATGCCCACCCCATCCCATGTTTACCTCCGACATCCAGAACTGTTTTCTAGTTCTGGATATTGGAGGTAAATATATGGGTTTGTTATATGATTTTGTTTTATAACATATAACTGTGATATATATTCATTTGTAGGTATCATATATTTTAAAAGATGAATAGCCATAGGTGATAGGAAGTGATAGGTATGGAATGTGCTGATGACAGGGGGACCAGGGAGGAAGGGGAAGGGCTTGACCATATCTGACTTCCCAAAGTGGGAAAAGTTGAGCCAGGGGACCAGGCCTGGGAGTGACCAGGGAAGGGACCACATCTGGAAGTCCCAGCCAGCTGCCTCCCTCTGTGACCCTGGATAAGCCTCTTACCCCACTCTCAGCCTCAGTGGCCTTGTGAACATGGGGAGGTTAGCCTTTCTCATTCTTAGTATTCCAGAGTAGAGTGACCCTAAGGCCTCAGTCACAAGTGGGAGAAGCATATATGGGTCCCAGACTTCTGGCTCCCATTGTCCTATGCCTCTTGCTGACCACTTCAGCCATTTGTCATCTTCATGTCCTTGGGAGGTGGCCTTGTAGGTAGGGCAGTCAGTGGGTCCATCAAGAACCTGCCTGCTGTCTACTGCTCTGCCACAGACATGACTAGGCCCAATGCCCATAATATGCTGTAGACTCTGATCCCAATGTCAGGCTTATATGAGCCCTGACAATGGTCACAGCATTTCTATGCACAGACCCCTTTCATTCTCTTGGCAGAAGTTGGGTGAAATTCTACAACATGCCAGATACCATTTTGGGGCAGAGGATACGGGCACAAAAAAGAAACTTAAGTTCTTATTCTCAAAGAGCTGACATTCTGTGCAAAACATGGTATGTTAGTGATACATACTAATGAGGAAAAGCAGGAAAGAGGGATAGGAAGTGTGTGGGAATGGAAAGACCAAAGGCCTCCCTGAGGAGGTGACTTTGAGTAAAGACCTGAAGGGGGAGAGGGCGTGAGCCATGTGGATACCTGGGAGAAGAGCATGCCAAGCTGCGGAAATAGCCATTGAAAGACCCTAAGGTGGGAGCATGGAGGGGCCACTGCTGAACTGGAGTGCAGAAAGGGAGGGAAGAGGAGAAGCAGATAAGATCAGGCAAGTAGGTAAGGTAAACCAAGGCAGGCCCAGGGGAGAGGTAGGGCCAAGGCTTGGGGCAGAGGCAAGGGACGTCTCTGGAGGAGAGAGGCAGGTCTCACTGCAGGCAGACAGGCAGGAAGGAAAGAGGTAGGATGGGATGGGGTGGGCATCACAGTGCCTTGTGGGTGCCTGCTCTTCACTCTGCTGTCTGTCTGTCACACACAACACACACACATGGACTCTCCAGTACTGGATGGCTGCAGGAGACACATCTGTTTAATGCTAGGAGCCAGGTTGGGATATGAGTCATGGAAGCCCTATCTTCTCTCACAGGCCTTGGCCCAACACAGGCTTGCTGTGTGACCTGGACAGGACCTTTCCCCTCTCTGGGTCTCAGTTTCCCTATCTGTGCACTGAGGAGTGGATTTGTTGGTGTCTGGGGAGCCTCTCAGCTCTGACTTCTTCCAGTACTTTGAAGTCTCATGTCATGATCCCACTTTGCTTCTCCCCACCTCAACTCAGGCTGTGGTTGAAATGGGGACAGAGTAAGGTAGGAAGAACTCCCAGCCCCAGGCCAGGTCACTCCAGGGCTTTGCAAGTAAAGGTTTGGTCCTCAGCCTAGTGGTCCTGGCTTTGGGAGAGCCCCTCACTCCCTGTCCTTGCCTGCTCTCCCACTCCCACTCATGACCCCCAAGGGACAGGCATCTACAGGCAGCACCGAGGTCTGGCTAGTCTGTCTCCTCCCTCAGATGGGAATCCCGCAGCCCAGAAAGAGAAAGGAGCAGCCATCTCGGGCCAGGCTGGGGTGCTGATGCCGAGTGGGAGAAGGCTATGGCTACTCAGAGCTGTGCAGTCTGACCGTGGCAAGGTACCTACCTCTATGCTGAACCTGAAGTGGGGAAGAGGTATGACCTAACCCTCCTGGGTGCTGCAGGGCCTGTACTGTGGAACCTAAGAACACAATGAGGGCAGCCAGGCTGGATGCAAATGCTGGCTCTACCAGTCACAAGCTGTATGACTTTAGGTAAGACAGGATAATAATAGCTCCCACCTCACAAGGCTGCGAGGATGATAAAATAAGCTATGCCTGGCATGTGGGCAGTGTATTCGCTCTATATTCTCTTGTGGTCCTCACATCATCATGCCCATCTTACATCCAAGGAAACTGAGGCCTAGGGATATTGGCTTGGTAAGGGGTAGACAGTAGGGATTTTAGTCCTTACCAATATGACCTTGGCTAGTTTTTTTTTTTTTTTTTTTTTTTTTTTTTTTTTTTTTTGGTTTCTGAATTGTGAAATATATCCTATAAGCATGCATATGTAACATACAGGTACAGTGAAAATAACACTCAAAAAACAA